ATAGCATAAATTGGCCCTGAATGATAAAGAGATTTTGACTATTCGTCAAGCGTTACTCTCCAGCGAATCGAACAAACTATACCAGGGCAGCATTTGTGGTGCAACCTTGCGCTTACATGTCATCTGACTCATGCGCAATAGTATTATGATTCTTTCTTAGTGGAAACATTTTTTTATTCGCGGTAAAACCCATTGCTGTAACCCTTTATTTTCGTTTTCTATAAATTACTATAAGTAATTTTAAGTCTTAAGGCTTAAAAATACAAAAAAAAATGTATTTTTATTTGTCATTTGAACCATTCACAAACTGATCCAACCTATGCAAAACTTGGTAGAACTGAAGATAGTTGCACGAATTCAACCAGATAAATTTGTTGTTTCTTTTACGAGTACATGTAATTTTTTTGAAAAGAATAGATGTGCATGTACATTTGTATATATCAACAGTAAATGTTTTACTAGATTATTCTTGCAACATGTTGCCACATAGTATATTAGTTTTGTTCACCTAACGGGTAAGTGTCTGTCCATCCGTCCGTCTGTCTGTGCAAGCGATAACTTGCGTAAAACTAGATATCTTGATGAAACTTGGTACACATATTTCTTGGCAAAAAGGTAAGGACAAGTTTGTAGTTGGGCGTAATTGAACCACTGCTACACCCACGAACATGCCATAACCAAGCCGTAAATTAAGACACAGAACTCAAGTTTGGCACAACGAATCACCATTTTGAATTCCATCTGTTTCTTTCCCTTCCAATATAAAAATCATTAAGCAACCAATAAAACAAATTAAAACTTTGGAGGAACAGTGCCTTTAAAGTATGATCAAAATTTGTCCAAATCAAACCAAAACTGTTCAAGCCCCTAGGTACCGAATATGTGGACCCCAGTGCCTATAGTCGAATAATTGAAATTCAGAGAGAATCCTTTCCTGATTATAGCATGTCTGTATGTGAAAAATGGTTTGATATACTTCCCTTAGCCCCCATATACCTAATATAAAGATTTTCGAACTTCCGGTCATATACCCGCTTTTAATAGAAACATACATCTTTACTAGTTGTTTGGTCGAACTTCTCAACCAGCCTTTATGTTATGCTATAAATGATCCCACTCCAAAAGGTGAATCGATTTTAAGATAAGACAGAAATTTATTAGAGAATGCAGAGACTTTTTCTAATTTAGATTCCTCTCATTAAGGGAAGCTACCTAAAACTACCTACTTCTGCGTTTGACCTAAGCAGTTATTTTTACCTCGAGGACGTATTTCCGCTAAGTAATAAAAATAGTGAATTTAAAGCATTGCTTTCCAAACTGCCAACTATTTATCAATCGAACTAATTTTGAATCACATGCTACCGATTCAAATCAATTGCACTTAGATTTCGTTTACTCCAATAAACAAATACTTATCGGCATATACCATACACATAAATACAAACACAAAAATGTAGAAATATTTCCTCCGCTAAGTTTTAGCTGTCAATATTCTCCACTCATTATCATACACATATCACACAACGCACCACCACTCTCCTGGCCGCCAGCCCTGTTGCATGTGAATTCATAGTGACATATTGAATAACTTGAAGACTGCAGAATGTGGTGAGTACATCATGTCTGTTATAGCGGCAGAAGCAATAAATAAAAACCAAATCAAGTCGAGCAAGAACCGATGAAACTTAAATGAACTAAACTCCAATGCGCAGCCCAGTCAAGTGAACTAAGTAAGTAAGTAAGTGACTGGCTGTGAACCCATACGCTAGTCAAGCCCCATCAAGTCGGCTAAAGTCAAGTCACTTCACTTTAAACTGTGAACTGGCGAAGCAGTGCATCGATGAATGAATGATTTACGATGTTCCATGGAAAAACTACTCTGAATAATTTATTGATAAATTGTGAAAGCGAAAAACCGGCAACCGGCAATGCCCACTTGCATACGGGATGTGGATGCAGCCCACAACGTGCAGGAAATCAAAAAAAAAACACTCTGTATATATATATATATATGTATGTGTGTGTTTATATTTATCAAGTCGGCTCAGAACAGCCCAACCCACCGTTACAGCAAAAGCAAGCCAACCGCAATAGGCTCGCGTTGCGCCAGCCAGCAAGCAGCAACATCATCAGCGCCAACCATCAGCCGGCATTCACTTTTGGCATGAAAAACTTCAAATTGGAATGCAGCAGAAAATGTCAATGCGAATTCCCATCGCATGCTCATAACAGCCAGCGTTCGCAGCTGAGCCACCAATTCGCTCGTTGCTGCAACTGCTGCGCGCACTTCCTCCACAGCTATGTAGCTAGAGTGGCCCGAAGTTGTGGCAACGTGCGACGTGATTCCAATAAAATCGTGTGATATTTTTGTGCGATCGCATTCGCATCTACCTGCAACACTCATGCCTATTGCAGCAACTGTCATAACATACACACACACACATACAGTGATTGTGGTTGAATATGCTGCAGTCTATCAGCATTCATACAAATGGCATTTGTGGCGTGCAACAATGCGCTGTGCAGTAGCTGATCGTGCCACTCAACTTCGACGACAACAATTCGGACTGTAGCTTCACTTCAACTGTCATTGCGGATTGTTAATGCATGAGTGTGTGCGTGTATATGCGTGTATATGTGTAGCTTTGCAGGTCTAGCAGGGCCCAGAGGACTCATAAATATTCTGTGCGGATGCTTGTCAAAAATGCATGATGGAATTATGACAGATCGTTATGATTAGCACGTTGCGATGTGCGTGATATGCCGTGGCACAGTGATGATGACAAGTGATCGTCAACGTTCCACAGCGATCAACGATCAGCGACTGGTGTGTGATCACATTGATTTCGTGGCATTACATGGATTTTTTTGTGCAGTTGTTAAAGGACATGCAAGTGGTTGAGAGGCGCAATTTAATTGAGTAGCGTTTTCACAGGGCGCTTACATTGGAAGCATTTGAACAAAATTATTTGCTTTTTTATGAAAGAGTTGGAATGATGTAAACAAATTAATGAAAGTTATTCTGGTTATTCTCAGGCATTTCAAATGCAATGTGCGCTAATTTTTCAGTAGTATTACAATTTCATATTTGGTCTTGCTTGCAAAGGCTTTCTCATTGAATTTAATAAGTGAACAGGGTACGTTAAGTTTCCACGAAGTTTGTAATGCCGAAGACCCTGTAAGGTATATACATACCGTATATATAAATGATCAGCGTGTCGAGCTGAGTCGATTTTTACGCGAACTATTCTCTCAATATTTGAGATATCGTTCTGAAAACTTCATTACTGCTCAAAATATGAGTCATTTTCGAAACTTAATAAGTGTAAATTATGGTTATGAAACACAGTTCGCCAATATGCTGTGTAATTACTGAATATAAGTTTTTCGAAAAGCATGAGTCGTCGAAAGAAAATGGTTTCTCGGTTTGACGAAGACGGTAATTACTGTATACCTTGCTTTGGGCGATTTCGTGCGTTAGAAATATGGACTTTCAGTATTAAACAGCCGTCATATTGCGCTTTAGTGTAAAATAGCAGCAACGAAAATTATAAAATCAAATGCATACGACACTTAAAATAATTAACTTATCGGATAAAGGCATAACCCAATCTTTAGTTTTAAAACATCCTTATGCAATTATATAAACTATTATGCAACATAACATTTCAAACAATAATTAACAAAAAAAATAAGATATCAGCTGCTTGAGGAACCCGAAAGCTAAATCACATAAAAAAGAGGACACTGCAAAAATATTGGGCTTTTAGTTCGAATTAAACTTGGAGTTGGATGCATCAACTGATAATATGTGCTAAGCCTGTGTCCAATCGGTTATAATCATATCATCATGTCTCATGTGTGGCTTTTATGAAGTAATTCACAAAAAAAAGCATAAATAAAAAGATGAGACCACGTTTCTTGTTTCGTTCTAACAATGTCGCATCATCCACATATTCCATTTTTATGTACCAAATGTTAGGTTATATATGCAGTTTATTTTAAAAAGTATTCAAAAGTAGCATTTATACAATACTTGTAAATCTATTGTATTGCCCACTTATAGTTAAGATTTACACTTTTATGTATGTAAGCATATTTTTTTGTGGCAGGTGTGTTAACTAGTTGATTTGGTAGTGTTTTATAAGCTTCAAAATTCTCTCAAAATTACTATATCAACACATCTAAAGAGCTTTAATAACTTATAGAGATATTTCTTAAAAAATAGCCCACAGCATAGGCTGCAAAGCATTTGCTAATAAAAAGGTTTTTCAGTTTCGGAATTTCGTTTTTTAAAACCCATTTTACAATCGCTTATTCTTTCATTTTTTCTTATAATATACCTATATCACTCGCGGCTATAAACCTTTGAGAGTGAAAAAATGTGTGAATACCGAGGAAAAGTAAAAGTAAGTTGTCAACCAGAAAACGTTTAGATATTTGAAATTGAGTCGATAAAAAATTGAACAACATAATGTTTTAAAAAAAAACGGAATATAATTCCGAAATATAAGTTCTCTAAACGAAACTCCAATATAATCCTATAATTAGACCCGAAATTGAATTTGTAATCGTAAAATTGCAAATTTAAACTTGCTTTTGTTTTTTGATGTATTTCTAATTTATTTGATTAGATTTCAATCGAGTTGCTTTCAACTAGAGAATAATGTGATAATTACCACACAACTTAACTAATTAAAATTTCACTACTGTTTGTTATTGTATTTGCTCGTTATTAATCAAAAGGTTAGGTTTAGTATACAAAATTTTGTTATTTTTCGAAATTTTACGTAAACATATTTGAGATAAATATATTTCTTAATTAGTAATAAATCATTCGTAATTTTGCCATAAAAAAATCGATGTTATATCAATATTTTTCACTGCAAGAGCTTAATTCAAGTAATTATACAAAAATTAGCTAATCGAATCAAACAGGTATGCGACTTTTCTAAGTTAATTTTTACAACCTTAATAAATATTTAGGTGTTTTAACTTACCTGATTCGCCGACGGATAACCGCAGCCATTGTATTGGGCATAAGCAGCCATTATTATAAATGCTGGCCACTACGAAATCAAACAATTGCACTTTTTTGTTTATAAATTATATGAGATTCGTTTTGTTGTCAAAATGTTTAATAGCCGACATTAAATGTGCGCAACTTTGAAACCGACAATGAATTTGAATATTAAAACCATAATTTTCAGTTTATCGATAAATGACGACTAAAAGCGTAGCATGTCTTTTTACAGTTTGGGTGTTTCGTTTTTTTTTTTTTTTTGTCTCAACAGAGAAGCTGCGATCGTTAACAACCGTTATGCATTAATTTTCGTTTTCATTTTGTAAATAACTGTTTATTATTTTTTGTTCTATTCGTCTGCGCACGTTACCGCTGTGTCATTGACACCATAGCGACATTTTGCCACTGTTTGACATTCCACATGGTCGTTGGTCATAGATTGTACGCACGCCTGTCATTTAAGCCAAAAGTTGTTAGCTGTATAATATGTGCTAGTATGGTTTTTATATAGTTTACTTGACATATGAATGCCATGTGTTACTAGCAACCTAAATCTTGTAGCTGTTCACACTTTGACAGGTCAGCATTCTAATGGCGCTGACTACTGACGGTCATTTGCTAAATAGTTGTTTTTGTTGTTTAAGTTCACTTTTTTGTTGTGGCTTTGCTAATGTTGCTTTCGTTTTGATAGTTTTTGCTGCTTCGGTTGACAGGGTCAAGGTTTTGGTGGACTGCCTGCATGCCGGTACACACATACATACACAACGGTTGAAAAGCAGTTTAACCACAAACCCAAGCCGAAATACACTCCGTCTGCTCTAATTAAAAAACGCTTCACAAACTTGTCAACCGCCTGCAATAGCAACAACAACACCATACATCGGGCAAAAACTTGTTTTGGGGGTAATTTGACACTTTGATTGGCGAACTAGCCTGTGCTTTGGTTATTATGTTATTATAATTTTTTGAAACTCAAATTTACGCTACTGTGGTCATATGATTTGTTGGTTCGAAAAATTGTATTTCTGTTTTTCTTCACTAGCTGACTTCAGTTTATATATGTACATACATACATATGTATTATCTCGATTTGCAGCGTCGGCGCGCCCATTTAATTTCACTTTATAATATACCGCGCATCTGCTTTTACATAGTTCAATACGCGCGTGTAGCTAAATTATTAACTAATCAATCGTGACAGCAATAATAATTATTGCATAAGATCTTCGCAGACCGATCTGCTCATCAGAACACTTGCAACTCTTGACCGTCGCTGTCGCTATTCAACTTCCGGTATTTTCCAATTGGAAAATCTCAGCCCTTGCAACGCACTGCCAGAGCAGAGAATGTAAATGAGACTCATTCATATTCATATACGTTCTCTGCTCTGGCACTGCATTGGCGCTGTAGCAGCCGATCGGCGCAATGTAATCAACACAACCACACCCCTCACGTTGGAACGTTGCCGCTTCGCTGCAATAATACCATATATAAAAGTCCATACAAAACGTCGCACTATATTCGTCGCTGCTGCTGCCCGTCAAACTCGTTTTCGCGTGCCCACACTTGCTCGCCGATGCGCGCCTATTCACGTTCGAGCACAAACTAGTTGCGAGTTCGTACAGGCGTTGCAGCGTTTGCTTAACACAGCGCACTCAACACATTGCTAAACGATAAGAGCGTGCGCAAGCAACAGAGCGGGAGCGCGATACGATGGTACAAACGGCAGGAGAAAAGCGGCAAATCTGTGAATGTGAAAAGCGAAGCGAAAATATCAACATAAAGCACAGCTGCAACACTGTAGCGAAAAAGAGAGCAAGAGAGCGCTACATAAATGCAATAAATGAAATTAGCAAAGCAATTGCTTTTCGACTACACGGGGTGTGGTGGCAGCGCATAGGCCACACCCATCGTGTCATACGTGAGCGTCACATAACTGCAATTGATGGCAGCGCCGCCACAGGCATTTTGCGTGAAAAACCGGAATTAACAACTCGTTACTCGCTGCCGCATTGCAGTGCATTTCCGTTGCACGCGCACTCGCCGTTCGACGTCGCTCTGCAAGCCTCAGCTCCAGTGGTTGTTATACTGGAATGCCGGCCATCCGAACGCCTCCAACTCTAAGCTGTCGGCGGGGTAATTTTATGGCGCTCGTCCACCACAACTGGGGTAACGAGATGTTCATATAGTTGAATGGATGCTTTTTTTACTATCCCGATTTATTTACTTGTGTATGGGTGTATGTTTGTAAGCGCTGACATATTATATGCTTTTGTTTACGCTAAGAAACTCAACTCTTTCGCTGCGATCATAAGATGGTAGGCGTGGTTAACAGTGAATAGTTTTTGTGATTTCAAAGAAAGTAGTTGGCTACGCCACTCCTCATAGCGCACATTTATATGAGTAGTATACAAATTATATACGAAAGTATGTATGTATATGTATGTATATATGTACTTTTTTTATGTGTATATATATACATATATTTACATATATGTAGTGATATAGTCACGCAGACTTGCCTATGAGGTGATAAATTAATAAAAAATAATTAATGCGGTATGCCATATTTGTACATACACACCAAAGCAATTCAAAAATCATATACAAACATATAAATAATGCTTGCTATACATGCATACATATATATGTATGTACATATGTACATTAGATACGGTACAGCGTAGTGTTTTCTTGTACACTATTTTCTTTTCAAAGAGTAAAAAAATGTGATACTTTTGAACATGTTTATTAAAAAATTAATATTTAATTAGCTATTAATCATATACCAAAGACTAACGGAATAATTTATTTTATAAAGATGTTGCAAAGTTTTGAAAATTTCTGTGGTATTCCCATTAATGTAATTAGTGAACTTTGGCTATTATATTCATATTTAAAATGAAGCATAGCACTAACAAAAGCGAGCAATATTGGTCGGATGTTTGTCAACTTTCAGCGTGAGATACTACAAAAAAGTCAATAGTTATTCAATTTGCTTGAAATTTTTAATTTTAACATATATATCTATTAATTGCTTTAAACGTAAAGTGAAACAAAAAATTTAGAAAAGGCCACATATACCAATAATTTTTAATCAAAACCAAAGGAAACCCATGCTTCCAGTTTTTCACGCCCACCTTAGTATTTATTGATTTTTTATTTATTATTTTTTTCGGAAGAGTAATGGTGCGGCCTTGTTTCACTTTGTGCCATTTTATTTGCTATGCTCTTCGGGTTCTCCACTTGCTGGCCACTTACATGAGTAGCCTCCTTAGGATTTAATTTAGATTTTTACAAATCAATCGTTCCATATGACGCGCATTATTGTCATTCAATATCCTTGGTAGACCACCGGAGTTGTCCAAACACGCTAAATTATTTCTTTTCTGAACCGAATTGACCTTAATTTCTCTGGCTTTTTTTTAGTTTGAGATAACAAAACGATACGGTTTTCTGACTTCTTCGAAATTTTCTTCATTTTTCCAAAATTCAATTCTTACAACAAATCAAAGTTAAATCGGCAATATATGAACTACACTCTTTACGTAAGCGAAAGGGACCCGGCCAAAAACTGTAAATTCACAAGAATTCCTCGAATTATTTTTAATACTTTCTAGGAGTATGTAATGTTAAGAGAAAGCAAAGACATCCTCATAAAACCGAACACGTAGTAATCACTTGGTGTCAGATCCGGTCTATAAGAAGAAACTCGCCACCAAGCTACCGATAACTTTGGCGAGTCACTATCGTTGTGTGTACGTTAGAACGGAATCCCTCTTCTATTGGCCAAAGCTGCCCGCATCTGAGCGATTGCTTCCGACATAAGAGATTCCCTGCCAAAACCAGTATGATTTTTGAACATTTCCAACTTTCCCAGAGTGCCATATATGTAACATGTGTACAAAGTTTCATCGAATTATTATATCTCAATTTTTGTAAAGTCAACGCTTGAACCGGCGGGACAGAAGAACCTGGATGATTTGAAATAGCACAAGATATATTTCCCCTAAGGCAGACCTAGCCAATGATAACCAATGTATTAGTAATAATATTATTACTACTCGCTATCCATTCAAGAAATATTCCTCCCACATTGCACAGGAAAAATATTTAAGTTCTTCAAAAATGGAATCAATGTTCTTCAATATATGTACCAACATATCTATATCTATATCTATATCTATATCTATATCTATATCTATATCTATAT